TCTTCGAGGCGAGCTCGGACGAGAGCGGGCCTAAAGGCCGAATTCGGCTCCTTTAAAGGGATCTATAGGGGGGGTTCCTTTAAAGGGATCCTTAGGAGGTTCCTTTAAAGGGATCCTTAGGGGGTTCCTTTAAAGGGATCTTTAGGGGTTCCTTTCAAGGGATCTATATCGGGGGTTCCTTTAAAGGGATCTTTAGGGGTTCCTTTCAAGGGATCTATATCGGGGGTTCCTTTAAAGGGATCTTTAGGTTAAAGGGATCTTTAGGGGTTCCTTTAAAGGGATCTTTAGGGTTTGGGGTTTAAGGTACAGGAGCCTCGGGTTTAGGGTTTCAGGGTGTAGGCATGAAGTCCATACAAATACACGCTAAATCCAGAAAATACACGGTAAATGCATGAAAAGACTGCGGGCTCCTTAAAGGGCTCCTTAAAGGGATCTATAGGGTTCCTTAAAGGGATCTATAGGGTTCCTTAAAGGGATCTCTAGGGTTTAAGGTTTAGGGTCTACTTGGAGGTTCATGGGACTTAGTATCTACAGTTATAAGCACCTTTACCTGGGGTTATAACTAGTTATAAGTATAGTTACCTTAATTATAGCCGTAGTTACTAAGTCCCATGAACCTCTAAGTACTAAGGAAGCCCACCATCACCTTTAGGGAGGTTTCGGGTGCAAAAGGGCGCTTAGGATTTTGGGTTTAGGGTCCAGGGCTTAAGGCTTAGGACTTAAAGGGCGTTTAGGGTGCCGGATTTCGGATCTAGGGTTGAAGGTTCGGGTTTAGGGTTTAGGGTTTAGGGTTTAGGGTTTAGGGTTTAGGGTTTAGGGTTTAGGGTTTAGGGTTTAGGGTTTAGGGTTTAGGGTTTAGGGTTTAGGGTTTAGGGTTTAGGGTTTAGGGTTTAGGGTTTAGGATTTAAGGGATCCTTCAGCCAGCCTAGGGGTTGGGAGCATCGGGTTCTTGTCGAGGGCCCTTAACGGAACTGCTTGGCATGCATGACAACCTCTCTTCTTCAACAACCGGGCCCCAAAAAGTTCAAACTGTCTAAGATTGAGCTAATATATAAGGCCAAAAAGTTTGAAGTTCCCCCGTTCACTATCTAAGCAACTAACAGGTGTTGCTATCCTGCGTCATGTTGCTTGACAAGGATCCAGTTTACGAAGCACGCATAGATCTTAAACATCCTGAACAACGCCCTGGAAACACGTTTAAGCGAAACTGCTTTCAGATGTCCGGTTAAAAAACAGCAATCTCAAAAGTAATCTTGTCCATAATCGCTTGAAAAGGCAGCAGCTTTTCAAGTGGGAAACTGAACACCTTAACCCTGTTAACATCCTTCTCAAACCCCGTAGGGCCCCTCTAGCCTATAAACCTCAACGAACCTTCGGAAACCATATAGAACCCAAGCATCACCACGAAAGTAAACCTAAGAACCCCTTGCCCTTAGTCCTAAAACCCTGAACCGCTAATCCCTAAAGCCCCCTAAACCGCCAACCCTAATCCTTCAAGCCACCTTAACCCCAAACCCTAATCCCTAAACCCTAAACCCCTAAACCCCAAAGCTCCCTAAACCCCAAAGCTCGCCAAACTCTCAACCCTAATCCCTAAAGACCCCCAAAGCCTGAGAACGGTCCGGGCTCCCCGGCCCGGCGTCCGCGGCCTCCACCTGCTGCTGATCCCGGGCATTCCGGGCCTCTACCTCGGAGGATTGGTTACCAGCTGAGGGGTTCTGTAGGGTTCCTTTAAGGGATCTATAGGCGTTCTGAAGAATCCCTTTAAAGGATCCCCTGGTTAACGGGTTTAGGGTTTAGGGAGGGGTTCTTCGCAGAGACTCTACTATCCCTTTTCTAAGGAATACCTACGGTTCCTTTAAGAGATTTATAGGTTTCCAGAAAGGGATCTACCTAGGGTTTCCTTTACAAGGATCTATAAGGTTTAGGGGACTCCAATATCCCTTCATTAAGGAAGATTCCTTAAGATACAGTAAGATCCTTAATATGTTTAAGGAATATTTTAGAAGCTGCCCCCACCCTGTAATAGTGACTATAAGGATTATATTAATATTAGATTAGGGCCCTATTATATTCCCATTATACCACTATTACAGGGTAGGGGCAGCTTCTAACGAATATTCCTTAATTTTGAGAACCCTAAACCCTAAACTCTAAACCCTAAACCCTAAACCCTCAACCCTAAACCCTAAACCCTCAAGAGCAGGATAAATAGAAATTGTGTGATTTTCGTATCGAACTGCATTTGCATTAGTTTCAAACTTTCATTAAACGTGTCCAAGCATCCCAAGCCTCCCCCAAAACTTCCAGTTCAGCTACGAGCCCAACCCAGCTTCGCGCAAAGCTTTCGGTCAAAACCCAGGAATGCAAAATCACAAGTCAAAAACCAAAGCTTTCGCTCAAAACGTTTCGCTCAAAACTTTCGGTCAAAACCCGGACCCAGCCGCGGCCCGACTTTGTGCCCAGGCTGCCGCAGCCCCCAGTATGGCGGAGCCCAGCCAGCCCAGCCAAGTCCACTCAGCAATGGCGTTGCAAACCAGCCCTAGGCCCTAGCCCAACCAAGCCCACCCCGCCCACGGTCTCCCAGGCCCCAGAGCCATGCGAAAACGCAAGCCAAAATGCAACCCCCCCAGCCCCGCCCCCATCAGCCAGCTCGGACCCCAGCCTGCCAGTCCCAAAATGAAAACCTCAAGTTAAAAAAGAAAACCCGCTCAAAACGTTTCGCCCAAAACTTTCGCTCAAAACGTTTCGCTCAAAACCCCGGACCCAAACCCTATACAATTTCTATAAACCCTAAACCCTCAACCCTAAACCCTCAACCCTAAACCCTAAACCCTAAACCCTAAATCCTAAACCCTAAACCCTAAACCCTAAACCCTAAATCTGGGGTTTAAAGGATCCTCCAGGGCTCCTCTGAGGGATCCTTCAAGAGTTCCCGCTTAAGGCCTGCTCTTTAATGGCTGGTTTAGGAGGCGTTGGGTTTTATGGTTGAGGGTTTGGGGTCTTGGGGTTTAGGGGTTTAGGGGCTTAGAATGAGGGGTTTGGAGTTTCGGGTAGGTTTAGGGTTGAGGGTCGAGGGTTGAGGGTTTAGGAGGTTCTGCAAAGGGTTCTGGAAGCCTTCTTTTGGTCGAAATCGTTACAGCAGCCTCAAAGACGCCTTATAGAACCCTTCTGTTTCTTGAAGCTTTAATCAAATGTTTGACCACTAAATCCAGACAAGCGACGCCATCGTTCTTGGCCTTAGCCTCTGCCTTGGCGAAGACACGGGGTAGCGCCGTTCCGGTTTTGGGCTATAGGTTTAGTATTACAATTATAGTACAACAGACATCTCAAGCTTTGTTCGCCTCAGACGCATGTCCGATCCACCCCCAAACCCTATTCTAATTATTAAGGCCCCTACATTAGTCCAAGTTTGCCGGTTTGCCGGCGTCGTGGGCGGGCTGAAGGCTTGACGGAACGAAGGCACTATGCCCTATGTGGGCAGTTCTCCAAATTAGGGTCCCCCTTTAGGTCCCCAATATAGTACGGCACCTTTATAAAGAGGCCCCCGACGACGGAAGGCCTCCATGGTCTGGAGTGCATTCACTGGCTGGTATTCCACGGCATCGGCATCGCTCTTGAGCACAATCTTTGAAGCTTCCACTTGTAAGGCTTGATGGGTTGGTCGTGGATGCTTGAGTTCATGAGTATGGCTGGTGGCTTTCTCAGGCGGAATAGACTTAAGTATGTTGTCTCTCTCCTGCTGACAGCATGAGTCAAGCAGGGCATTGCTTGGCATGTTCACTCCCTCCAACGTGATGCCTGGGATGGCTGTGCGAAGGTCGTTCAACCTTCGGTCCTGTTCAGCCTCGGGGACACGACGAGGTGTGGATTGACACCTGGTCGCATAGTTCAGCGACAACTAGCGTCTGAGATTCAAACACAAGTCGCTTGACACAAGACTGATCACCCAGAGTCATTCCGGCAGCATTGTCGGCAACCCAATCACGAAAGATGGGCTTTGTGACTGGCTCCCCCGGCGCAGTGACGGTATAAGTCGCCTTCCCAACGGAAGTGATGCCCAAGGCCTGCATGATGGCTCATCCTGCACTGCTAAGCCCGACCTCGTCAGCACGTCTTTTAAGGTGTGCCTTGCTGTCAATTAACGAGGACATGGCGAGCTAAAGGCTTCGGACGAAGCAGGTCAAAACTTCCGAGAAACCTAGACAGCACTTGCATGCAAAGTGAAAACTTCAGACTGAGCACTAGAATCATTAGGAATACAACGTGGCATGTTCAAGACATCACTCCAACAACAGCAGCTGTTCCTCGGCCAAACTCTCAGACACTCAAATGTTCGAATCCCATCAGCAAAGCTTACCGGAAATGATTGATCACCTGAACCGCAGCAGATTCACTGCCTTGCAGCGACATGTTCCAATGCAGAAAAGCAGAAAAGCGCTCTTTCACAATATTTTTAATCGCAGTCAGGGACCGTCTAGGTCATTGGCACTTCGCCCTTCGCCAAAAAGGCGGAACATCGGCAACTAGCCGTCATCGCTTCCCAAACCGCACGCAAGCGCGGCACCTTCGAAAGCTCGTGTGAGTGAATCATGGCCTCTGAAGACCGGCCACACACGGCTATCAAGGAGCCTTTGCCTGATACAAATTTAAGCAGGCGGAGCGTCCAAGGGGTTGGCCACACAGTCAGCGGCGTCCCACCTTTTTGACTTCCAAGCGAGGAACCTCAGGCGATGACCTTGGCTAAGACGATAAGGGGACAACGGACATGACATGACACCGCATGATCAACTGACGTGTATTATGCAAAGATGAACTCACCGCCGACTCATTTTCACACTCCTCATGTTCATATGCCAGGTATCAACCTGTAGGCCCCTTTGGCCGGCCCCTTGGCCCGCCCCTTGGCACACCGCTCCTGGTCGCCTTTGCGACACGTGCACAATTTATGCGCACGCCGATTGCCTATCCAAGCGGCTTCGTGAGCGGAAGTTTTGTCGCTACCCTGCAGCCGTATGAACCCCGCGCAGCCTGTCATCCTCCATATAGAGGGAGCTCACCAAGTTTTCTGAAACTCTTCTGGCATTGAAGCCCTGAGATCTCAAGAAGGACTGTACCTTGGCGACGACCGTTTCACTAGTCAGCGACAAAACCATGGCCCAGTACGACGACATACGCCTGGGAGCCAACAGGCTCGCATTTTCCGTATCCGGGATGCAACAATTTGCATCCAAGATCACCAGTCTGACTGAATCATTTCGAAGGCCCAGACTGAGTTCCTGTAGAAGCGCTTGAGGCTCCGAACCCGGGTCCGAGAGCCCTCTGAAGCCCCATTGCTCGACCCCGAGGTCTCTGCACTTGACCTTGTGTTCGGTGGCCAAGCAAATTGCCTGCATGCAACGGAAGGCAACCAGCGCGGCGGCACTTTTAGGCAAAATTCCGGTAAAGTCACCTGTTCCGACAGGAGGAAGAAAATATTGCACACGGAATGCGGCCTGAGGCATAACTCCATCGAACCACTATCATACACTTTAGTGAAAACCGCAGGACATGCATGCGAAGCCTTCAATTCGCAGACGCTGTCAGCTTCACTTTTAGCAATTTTCAACACCACCCGATGGTTATTTGATAACCCATCAACTAGGTAGACTTTTCGGAAGCCCCCCCTGAAGTCACTCGAAGGGCAGGCAGCTTGCGCGCGTATTGTATCAGCATTGACCCTTAAGGTGACATCCACGACATCGGGCAGGAGCTCGCGGGCACACTCATCCGCTGACAGCGATTTCAGCTCAAGCTGGAGGTCAGCAGCAATGCGTGCACGACCAGGGCCCTCAGGCGGCGGCCCTTGGGCGTCTGGTCTCTTGTTACTTCCAACACTGCGCCCAGCAAGGCAATAACCACACAAGTCAAAGTCACACACCCGGCAACCCCACAGGAGTTTACGGTTTCTGAATTCCTTTAGGCAGCTGGAGCACGTCCAGTTGGGACCTGGCGTCCCAAACCTGTACAGAGGGTGGCCAGAGTTGCATTCGGGTTTTTGGTCCAGCTTATTCAATAAGTCCTCGGCGGCATCTTGAGTGAGCACTACAGAGCCGCTGTCCTCAGACGAGGATCCCAGGGCAGCTTGGTCCGCCGCTGGGTAGTCTGGAAGATTCCTGCCCACCTTCACACTTGCCACATATGATGCAGGTAGTTTCGCTGAGGAAGCTGTAGAAGGGCAGCTTGGCTGCTGCTGGTCTTGGCGAGAGGATTCGACAGATGCGGACACAAATGTTTTATCTCGCCTTGATCGGGGCGGCGTTGGCGGAGCAGCCCTCCCAGATGGAAGAAGCTTACCTTTACCTGATTTGGCACTGGGTTTTCCATGAAGAGGAGAGGCTACCTCCTCGGCTGGGTAGGCGGAGGGACCCACTATGGGGTCACGAGAGCTGCCAGCTTGAGGCTGCAAACAACCAGGCAAAGGGTTTGCGGCAGCAAACACACCGTCCGAAGCATCACTCTTTCCTAGGCGGGAGGAGTTGCAACCACTTAGACTTACCACAAGGGACCGTAATTTAGAGAACTACCCATGTGCAGCTTCCCAAGGCAACGACGGAGAGGTCACAGACTCCCAAAAGCGATGGCACCTACAGTTTAGGGTTTAGGGTTTACTCACTTACAACCCTACCTTGAGTAGCCATGACAGACTCCTAAAAGCGACTTGTACGAACACTGACTTACAGACCTACTCAAGGCAGCCATGATCCTGCTTATGATCACCCTCAACCCTTTCAACACAAATTGAGCCCCCTACGCCCCCATATGCAGAGCTACTGTTGATGATATAAATCCTGCATGACCTTAAGGACCCTAAACTATGGGAAGTATGGTATATTCCTTATTGTGGGTCATGCAGGATTTATGTCATCAACCGTACCTCGAATCTTCCTCAAATGGTGCCTCCTGAGCCCTCGGTGCCTCAGGTGTCGGTACCTCCAAAACCCCTTAATTAAGGATGATACGTGAAATTCCAAAGCTTATTATCATGAGTTAAGCAAAAACCTGGAACCCTAAACTTACCTTGGGTTAGTAGGTAATGGAAGAATGGAAGTAATAGTGGTTATAATTGTACCCCATTCCTCCCTTCCCTACTAACCAAGGGTAAGTAAAAGAAGGTATGTTTCGTAATTGAGAGGTTGTGGAGTCTCGGGGTCTAGGAGTGCTGAGGCTAAAGAGCTGTGGGATGTATGAAACTTCGTATACAGAGAGAGAGTGGGAGAGAGAGAGAGAGAAGAAAAAAAAATACATAAACATGCAGGTAGCAAAAATGTCTGTCTATCTATCGATCTACCTATCTATCTATCTACCTATCATCTGTCTATCTGTCTATCTCCCTCCTCTCTCTCTCTCTCTCTCTCTCTCTCTCTCTCTCTCTCTCTGTCTCTATCAATCAATCTAGCTATCAATCTATCGATCTCTCTCTCTCTCTCTCTATCTATCAAAACTCTCTCTCTCTCTCTCTCTCTCTCTCTATCTACCAATCTATCTATATACACATATTCCTACATCCCTGAAGTACAGGGTATTGGGCACTGGAAGCCTGACCTGAGGCGGCGGCGATGATGCGCTGCCGCTTCGCCTGAGCAGGTAAGGGAAGAAGGCCGCTTTACTGGGGAGGTTAGGATTTAGGAGTTTAGGGTCTAGAGGTTTAGGGTTTAGGGTGGGCTTTGGTAAAGAGATCCATCCACAAGGGATCCCTTAGGGTTCTGCAAGGAATCTCTAAAAGATCTAGAAGGGTTCTGTAACGCTTCATTAGGGTTTACCGTTTCGGGTCTGGGGCTCCTAAAAAGGATTCCTTGAAAGGCCACTATAACAGTTACAGAAGGGTTTAGGGTTTAGGGGTTTAGGGTTTAGGGTTTAGGGGTTTAAGGGTTTAGGGTTCAGTAGTTCAAGAGTTTAGGGGTTAGGGGTTTTGGGTGTAGGGGTGTAGGTACAGGTCAAGAAGGGATTACGGATTGAGAGGCAGAGGCCCAGAGAGCCCATTACCCCTTAATTAAGGAATATACCTTAAATTAAAAGGGGCTTGAATTAAGCTACACTCCTTAATGAAGGGATTTTGGGCTCTCCGGGGGTGATATGGAATACTTATGCATGGGATCCCGTGCATAGGACCTATGTAAAATCCTCGGTCGTTGGAGTCTCTGTCTTCTCAAGTTCTCAAGCTTTAGGACTGGGGCGCAGGGTTTAGGAACCCAGAGACTCCAAAGGAATATACCGTAAAATCACAGTAGGATCCCCAAATGATTTAAGGAATATTCCTAAATTAAGGGATATTGGAGTCTCTGGGAGTTAAGGCTTTTGGATATCGGGTATAGCTTTCACGCTGCGAGTACTCCGTCAGTTCTAAAGCGACATGGCTTCGTGATACCAGTCGTAAACCCTAAACCCGCATTATAGAAACCTTACAGACTTCTCAAGAATCTTATGTACCCTGAACTACTGTTGATGATATAAATCCTGCATGACCTTAAGGACTCTAAACTATGGGAATTGGGGTATATTCCTTATTGTGGGTCATGCAGGATTTATATCATCAACCGTATCTCTGAGAAGCAAAGGAAGCCATTTAAATTAAGGTGTCAAGGCTCATGGCTCACTCGGCGAAGCATCTAAGTACACTTGTAAGTACCATAACCCCAATTTGGAACCCACTTAGGGCACTTATAACTCTAGCTACTGCCTACTTACTAAGTCCCCCGACCCTCCAAGTAGGGTATGGAGCTCAAAAGTTCCGAGTGCAGTATATGGTCTATATCTCAAGCAAGACTTTCTAACACCTTTACAGGCCCATAATGGACACTTGAATTTCCAAAACCCTTACCAGGCCGTTATACAACCCTTATCATAAGCACCCCACCCATCGCCTTGATCCCAAACCCTGGGCCCAAACCCTTAACCCCTCAACCCCTACACTCAAACCCTGGACCCCTAAACCCCTAGGGATTGCGTGGTTTGGGTTTTGGGTTTAGGGTTTAAGGCTAAACCTTAAACCCAAAACCCGCTAACCCCAAACCCCTAGAACGTGAACCTGACAAAAGCCCGGTAGGGGCCAGGCGGAGGGAACGTTGCCCTTGCGCTCCCGCTCGTAGACCACAGCTTGGAGGTTCAGCCTGGCAGTTGTTCAGGGTTTATGGGGTTTAGTGGGTTAGGGGGTTTAGGGAGTCTAGGGTTTAGGGTTTAGGGTGTTTAGGGTTTAGGGGGTTTAGGGGGTTTAGGGTTTAGGGTTTAGGGGGTCTAGGGGTTAGGGGGTCTAGGGTTTAGGGCTTTTCAACTTAGTGCTTGAGGATTGCAGGCTTGGGCCCGAGGCTCGGAGACATGGAAAAGGCAGACTCCAATATCCCTTAATTAAGGAATATTCCTTAAATCATATAAGGGATCCTACTATAATTTTTGGAATATTCCTGAAATCATATGAGGGATCCTACTATATTTTTTGGAATATTCCTTAATTAAGGGATATTGGAGTCTCTGGGACTGAATCATCCGAACGTACCTGCGCTTTGATACCTGCCATGAATGGTCTACTTAGAGACTCTTTAGACCCCGAAGTAGGCACCATTAGTATACTGTAGAAGGGGCCCCCACCCTGTAATAGTGACTACAAGGATTATATTAGGGCCCTATTATACTCCTATTATACCACTATTACAGGGTGGGGCCCCTTCTAAAGTATACTTGGAGCCTGGGGAGAGGTCTGAAGAGTCAGAAACAGTATCTCCCTCGATGACAAACAGCCCAGAGACTCCCATATCCCTGAATTAAGTCAAAGGGAAAAGGAGGGACCCTTAATAAGGACCCCTAGGTATATACCCTTAATATAGCTACCATATACCCAGTATATAGCCTATTATAGGGGTAGGGGTCCCCATTAAAGGTCCCTCCTTTTCCCCTTTGATTAAGGAACCCAGGGATCTATAGGGTATCTATAGGAAGGGGCTCCAAGATCCCTCAACTAAGGAATATATACCGTACATCATTTTAGCGGATCCTACTATAACTTACGGCAAGGTATATATTCCTTAATGAAGGGGTATTGGGGTCTCTGAGAAACAGTGCCAGAATATAAACCAGTGGTGCTTAGGGCTTCGGGCTAGGTTTAGCGCTCTACTTCGGGAACTGCTGCTTACAAAACGATACTTTGGGCTGTTCGGAGCGCGAGGGTCTGCAGTAGCCTTGGGCGGGAAGGGTGCCGATGCATCCACTTCTTTGCTAGACCCAAGAGTAACTTAGGAATGAACAGGGTGGCCTTTTTGGTTTAAAGGGGCTTATAAGGGAACCTAAACCCTAAAAAAAGGGAATAAGGGCCTACTCTGGGTCCTAGCTTGGTCAAGTGCTGCGCGCGGGTTTTGAACTTCCCGGAGACTTGGGGAGATCCCTTGAGTTCATTTAGGGTTAGGGTCTAGGGTTCAGGGTTTAGGAAATTATTGGATTTTGCAACACCCACCAAGGCAGTTCCGGGGCTGAAGGAGTTTAGGGTTGAGATTTGACTCTACTCCCCTTGGAAGGTACGCAAAAAACTACCTTTTTCGGAGACCCCTATAAAAGAAGACCTGAACCAAAAAAGGAACAAAGTAACAAAGTCTCCAAGAGCTTTAAAGTTGAGGGCTCACGGTTTGTAACAGGAGCTTCTGGTGTAAAGCAGGAGTTCAAAAATTCGCCCCAAACCCTCTCAAGATTCTCGACCCTAAGCCAAACCCCGAAGCCCCTAAGCCTCTTAACTCATAGAACCTGAACTTTAAACCCTAATACCCTAAACCCCTAAACCCCTAAACCCTAAACCCCCCCCAAACCTCTACACCCTTTAACCAAAATAATCAAAAAACACAGTAAACTCCACCGTAGCTGTCGAGTCACAAGGACGCCGCGCCGACGCCGCTGATGGATTTCGGCCTGGGAGGCCGCAGGACAAAAGACTCTGAAGGTTCGGGGGGGTTCCTTTGAAAGGGTTCTATAAGGGTTTACGGGGTTCCTTTTAAGGGAGCTATAAGGGTTCCTTAAAGGGCTCCTTCAAGGGATCTATAAGGGCTTATTTGTTCCTTTACAGGGATCTATAAGGGTAATTAAAGAATATACCTTAAAGTATACTAAGATCCCTAATACGACTTAAGATCTATTCCTTCATTAAGTGATAGTGGCGTGGCCGGGAACCGTAAACCCCGAACCTCGAACCCTGAACCCTGTCCTGTCGAGCTCAGCCTCTTGTGCACCGGCTGGGCCGTGGGGCTGTGGGTATAACATTGTATAGGTTTAAGTTTTAGGGCTGAGACTTCTACGGACTACAGGGAAATTATCTAGACTTGTGTATAACCAAGAAACCAAAGCACGAATTTTCAATCCCAGAGATTGCAAAACCTGAGCATACACTAAACTATGCTTAGTACCACACCATGTTTTAAGGTACATACCGTAGGTAACGGGTTGTGGAGCATCCGGGGATTAGGGTTTGAAGGTACTTGGATTTCGGGCTAAGGTCGTGAGGCTTTAGGGCTTTAGGTGCTGGGATTTGGGGTTCAAGGTGTGAGGGCTTTCAGGGTGTAGGCTCTGGGGCTTCAGGGCTAAAGGGTTCAAGCACGGTTTTGGGTTCTAGGGTTTTCAGAGTTCTTGGGGTTCTGAGGGTTCTGATGGTTCTTAGGGTCATTAGGGTCATCAGGGCTTAAGCGTTTTAAGCCTTCGGTATCAATGCTTAGGGTCATTCAGGCTTTCGGGGGTCCGGGCTCTTCGGGTTTAGGGATTCAGGCTGATAGGTTTTTTTTGGGTTTGGGGCTCCTAAGCGTATCAGGGTTGATGATACGTGAATCCTGCAATACCCATGATAAGGAATATAAAGGAATATACAATAATTCCCATAGTTAATGTCCTTAAGGTAATGCAGGATTTATATCATCAACAGTAGGGTATACGGGGGTTTGGGATTTTCAATGGCTTCTAGGTCCCCCACTCCTTGGGGATCAGAGAACTTTCCGTCAGCCATCCCAAACTCATGGCGCTCAGCTGCCGAAGCTACGGCCAGGGGATCCGGGTAGGCTTTTAGCAGCCGGGTCTGCGCCTTAAGGGTGTTGGGTTAAGGGCTTTAGGGTGTTTGGTTTAGGGTTTAGGGTCTATAGTAGAAGCCAGAAAGTTGGAACATCAGTATCCTCATGGCCTTAAGGTAAAGTATACAGGATCCTAGCACTAATCCTCCTAAAGCCATGTTCCAACTTTCTGGCTTTTGCTATATAGTGTTCGGAGACTTTCGGGTCTCGTGCTTCGGGCCGGGTGGGTTGAGGAAGGGATTGCAATCCTCAGGCTCTAAGGACTCATATAGGGTTCCTTTAAAGGGATCTATAAGGGGTCCTTTAAAGGGATCTATAGGGTTTAGGGCTCTAAGGACTCATATTTTAAGGCTTCTGGGCCCCAAAGACCATACTTTATAAGGCTTTGGGCTATTTTGAGCCTTAGGGCAAGGCTTGCTATGGTGAAGAGTTAAGGGTTCGGCAAGGACTTGTGGTTCTAAACCCTTTGTCCCACAAGTTCAGCCCCTCAACTTGTAGATCCAAGCCACTTGGGTTTCAGATACAGAGTTTGAGATTTAGGGGTTTCCGAAAATAGGGGACCCTCATATAGTACCCTAAACAGTAGGATCCTTAAAAGAAGGTACCCATAATTTTCGGAAACCCCCATTTAGGGTTTGTGGGGCGTGGGTTGCGGATCAAGGGTGTCTGGAGCCAAGGAGGGGCAGGCGATCTTCGGCTGAACTCATGTACGCATCTATGCATGCAAGTAGGCATGCATGCATGGGAATGTGGTGTACCCATGTAGGTATCTATGCATGTATGCGTGTATGCATGGATGTATGTAACTTATGTAAGTATGAACTGCTGTTGGTATGTATGTATGCATACATGCACGTATGAGTACAAATGTGGACACGGTGCGCATAGTGCACATGTACGTCTGTCCCGGCGCACCTATCTATCTACTCACCTAGCCGACCTAGCCACTACCCTACCTGCCTACCTGCTCTGCCTATGACGATGCGGTTTTTTGGTAGGCATCTGTTGTTTTGCAGCTGCATTTTCACAACTAGGTAGGTATATGTATGCTGATACTTGTAAGATCGGTTTACAAGGCGGTATGAAGCAACAACACTCGAGCCTTGAAGGTGCAGAGTCGTCCTCCTGCTTCCGGAAGGCTTTGCTTGCAAGGCTGTCGGAGTTCAGTGATTTAGGGCTTTAAGGTTTAGGGTTTAGGGGTTTAAGGTCTGGTGTTTTGGGTTTAGGGTGTAGGGTTTGGGATTTAGGGTTTGGAGTAGGGTTTGGGGCTCAGGATATGAGGAGCTTTTTGCAGTAAGGAACTCTGCATTCGGGAGTTTCAGAATCTGTGGGACTCTTGTATCAAGCCCTAAACTGCAGAATCCATACTCTAGCGACCTCCAAAATAGAATCAAGATCGAATCCCTGAACGTTTCGGATTTCGACGGTTGCAGGGTTTAGTCCCGAAAAGCCCAGAAACTCCAATATCACTTAAAGAAGCTATATACCTTAAATCATATTAGGGATCCTACTAATCCTACGAAAAAAAAAATATATATATATATATATATATATATATATATTAATCAAGGGATATTGGAGTCTCAGGGTTCTCCAAGAAAGGTTCAGTAACATAACAAGATTATGGATCCGAAACCCTACTGTGGTTTAGGATTTAGGGTTATCGTGACCTACCATGAAACAACGACTGCCCGATGCCTGCAGAACTGGCTTGCTAGAGAGAAAGCTTAGGGTCTAGGGCTTAGGGCTTAGGAGCTGGGAGTTAGGATTAAGGGGACTCTTGGGGATAAAGACCCTCTCAATAAGGTCCCTTTTAAGAGAGCCAGAAGTAGGGTTCAGAAGGGGTACCCTTTAAGGGGTCTCTCAAATAATACTACCTAGGAGCAGGATTGGTCCGGAACCTGCAACCTCAGTGCCATTTTGACATCAATCCTGAAAAACAAAGTGTGCGCGCTTCTGGTGTTTACAAGGGCATCCCTCCATTTCCCTTATGTGACTAGACCTAAACCCTGAGCCCGGAAGCCCTCAGTAAACTATGAGGAAACCGAGCTCCGAAACGGCCACCCTGAGCCGAAAGCCAGCAAGCTTGAAGGTCCTTGGAAGGCAGTCCCGCTGCCAACGCCTGCGGCGAAAGGTTAGGGCTTTCAGGGTTCAGTTTCGGACTTGTGATTTTCCTGCTCCTAAAACAACTGCATCTCCAGGTTAGCTAATATGAAGCCCGTATACAAACACTCAACGAAGAAGCTCTTTTGGGCTACACGTGAGGTTGAATTCTTGGGGGTATTTCCCTTCTGATGCCCTCTCGGGTTTTTGAAGTCAGTAATGTAGGGGTCTAAATAACTACCATGACTACTAGTGGGGTTTTGGTTGTAGTTACAGCTTTGTGTACCCCAATACCCTATTCTAGGCCCCTGTAGTACCCCTAGTCAGTACCCATAACCACGGAACCCAAACCCTAAACCCTAAACCATAACTACGGAGTTTTTGAGCTTGAGCTTCTGGGGGGCCTGGGCATAGGCACGGTCGGCCACGCTCCGCAGGCTCAGCAGCTGCTGCAGCTCGAGGTGTTGGGTCGCACCTCGGAGGAAGTGAAGATGCTCTAAACCCTTCGTAGTCCCCAAACCTTACAACATCGCAGGTTATGACCCCCTTAATTCAAAAAAGGGGGCCCTAAAACACCGTGTTGGATCCCCAGGTAGGGTTTAGGTTCATGGTTTAGGGTGGTCCATTGAAAAGGTGCTGTTCAGGGGCTCCTGCAGGGGTTCCTTTGAGGGTTCGGGTCTAAGGCTCTTGTAGAGGTCCTCGTCCCTAAACCGCCTTAAAAAAAAAACCTAAACCCAAAACCCTAAACCCTAAACCCTAAACCCTAAACCCTAAACTGAACTCTAAACTTCTCTGAGCCCGTGGGTTGGCTTAAAGGGCCCGTAAGACTGGAAGCCGAATCCCTACATAAACCCCTTTCAAGAACCCTTACACCCTAACCCTAAACCCTACTATAGTAGCAGCCAGAAAGTTGGAATATCATTATCGTAACCCCTTTAAGGTAAATTATAGGGGATCCTACCATTAATCCATATTCCAACTTTCTGGAGTTCCCTTTAAGGGCAACCCTTTAAAAGCCCTAGTGTATAAGAGCCGATACAAACTCTATAGACACCCCAAAACCGCCCTTCAAGGACCCCTCTAAAGGAGCCCTTAAACGAAGCCCGAAGAGAACCGCGGAACGAGCCCCTTCAAGGAACCCCTAAAGGACGCAAGGATCCCTTGAAGGACTCTTGGGTCTTCTGAAAAAATCCTGAAAGGAGCCCTTCAAGGGACCCTAAACCTTAAACCCAGAAAGAAACCCATCACAAAAGTCCCGAGGAACCCCTTAGAAGGTTCATTTAAAGGAACCCCCTAAATTCCTTAAAGGAACCCCTTAAGAGACCCCTGCCCTAAACCCTAAACCCTTTTAAAGGAACCACTTAATGATCCCCAGATTCTTCTTTTCAAGGAACCCCTCTAGGAACCCAGCTTCTTCCTTTAAAGGAACCCCAGGTTCCTCCTTTAAAGGATCCCCTAGGAAGCCCTTTAAAGGACCCCACCCTAAACCCTAAACCACAGAAGGAACCCCTCTAAAGGACCCCCGGGCTCTTCCTCCTTTGAAGGAACCCCTAGGAACCCCTTTCAAGGATCTGTTTTCAAGGGCTACCCTAAGGAAGGAGATAGAAAGTAGATCCACTAATTTGGGGCCCTATACTACTAAGGGTACTTCAGAGGAACCCTCTTTAAGGGATCTACTTTTGGTCTGGGTTTAAAGGATCCCCGCAAGGGCTCTTCCTCCTTTAAAGGAACCCTTGAAAGGACCCCCAGGCTCTTCCTCTTTTAAAGGAACCCCAGGCTCTTCCTCCTTTAAAGGAACCCCTAGGAACCCCTTTCAAGGATCTTTTTTCAAGGGCTGACCCTAAGGAAGGAAAAAGAAAGTAGATCCCCTAATACTAAGGGTACTTTATAGGAACCCCCCTTTAAGGGACCTACTTCTGGTCTGTTTTTAAAGGACCCCCCCTGAGGGCTCTTCCTCCTTTAAAGGAACCCTTGAAAGGACCCCCAGGCTCTTCCTCTTTTAAAGGAACCCCAGGCTCTTCCTCCTTTAAAGGAACCCCTAGGAACCCCTTTCAAGGATCTTTTTCAAGGGCTGACCCTAAGGAAGGATATAGAAAGTAGATCCCCTAATACTAAGGGTACTTTATAGGAACCCCCTTTCAGGGATCTACTTTTGGTCTGGGTTTAAAGGATCCCCCCCCTAAGGGCTCTTCGCATCGTTTTGCCCGAGAGGCCCAGGTCCACGGCCGCGCGGAGGCTCTCGAGGAGCTCCCGGGAGGCCGAGGCCCAGGAAGCAAAGGCCTGGGCTCCTTAAAAAAAAGGAAGCAAAGGCCTGGGCTCCTAAAAAAAGAAAAGGAAGCAAAGGCCTGGGCTCCTTAAAAAAAAGGAAGCAAAGGCCTGGGCTCCTAAAAAAAGAAAAGGAAGCAAAGGCCTGGGCTCCTTAAAAAAAGGAAGCAAAGGCCTGGGCTCCCTTTTTTTTAGGGGTCCCTTTGTTTTTTAGGGTCTAGGGTTGGCATTTTTTTTGTGGGGGGGGGGGGGGGGGGTTAGGGTTCTTTTTTGGGGGGCACAGCAAAGGCCTGGGCTCCTAAAAAAAAATTAGGGTTCGTTGTTCCCTTTGTCTTTGCTTTTAGGGTTTAAGGTTGGTGTGTTCCTTTTTTTGGGGGAGAGGGAGGTAGGATTGGCTTTTCCTGTGGTTTAGGGTTTGGTTCTTGTCCCTTTTGTTGCTTTTTGGGGTTTAGAGTTTGTTTATCCTTTTTTTGCCTTTAGGGTTTAGGGTTCGTTTTCCATTTTTTGAGTTTAGGGTTTAGGGTTCGTTTTCCATTTTTTTGCTTTTAGGTTTTAGGGTTCGTGTTCCATTTTTTGCTTTTG